GAAGTGGGAAAGAATCTTTCCCTTAATAGAGATGGAGGCCTCAGACACAACCTGTCCCCCATTTTTTATGCTGCTCTTTCAGTCCCCAGGAAGATTAAGACCAGTTCAGAGGTTCACTAAGGTGGCCATGCTTAACAACCCACCTAGGGCAAATGATTTAGGAGTTAGAATATTTACATCCCAATGACTCTCTGCTTACTCACCTAATGAGTCTATCCAGATTAGGTGAGAAATGAAACTCTCCTGGAGGACATATATGGGGTTCCCATAACCAACTTGTCCATACTGAAGAAGCTACTTGGATAAGCAACAAAACAACAAGAAGTCAAGTTGCCATAATGCAACTTCCAGACAACTCTACCTGAGTTGATAATCTTCACTGACATCAGCCATAGAAGTTGATTCACTTTGTGTCAGGCACTTCTGTGGCCCAACCTATTTTGGTGGGTTACTGTTGTGGGGGGGGGGGGGGAAGAGGGTGCACTATATACAACACTTTGGGATTCCAAATAAAAAGTGGGCTATGACTCTATTGAACAAATGAATAAATGAATGAAGGAATAAATAAATGATTTTTGAAACGATCCATCTACTAACACCTTAGTTAATATCACTTTTGTGTTCCACATGAGTAAGGAACTATATATTATTTTTTCTTCAAATTCTATAAGTATATGAAGTATTGCCACATGGGTTATTTTTCTACTTTTTTTTATTCCATAGCATGATGTTTCTGTTCATCTAGTTATTGAATACAGGACATGGGAGGGAGGAGAAAGTTAAAAGAAAAGTAAGGGCTTTTTTTAAGTTGAAATGTATGCCATGATAATCAAAACACTTCTGGAGAAGCCAGCTTAATCCATCCAATCCTTAAAAATTATTTGAAAGTACTTTCCTTCCAGCTGCCGTCAAAAGGCTGCCAATTACAATCCTGAGAAGAAGATGGAATTTCTTCTGATTATGAATGGTGAGCCTGCTTCTTACCGGTAATACAAGATACACATTTGTTTTAATCAAGTTCCAAAAAGAATTCTGAAAAAAGAAATCCTTTTTATATACATGTGGATTTAGCTACAAGTGAAAATGGCTAGTTTGTCTTGATGCTAAGTTGATAAATGCAGAAGTGAATCACCATTAACCACACAAGGTTAAAAGATTCAAAAACATGGATTCTGTTTAAAGAAAGCACATGTTTGGAATCCTGATATTATTAAAGGTCCTCCAGCTCATACTCAATGCATTCATTAGCCAGTAGTCTTCATTTTTTCCAGATGCAGAACCTTCAACTCCAATATAGGTTTTATTATTTGAGGCGGGGGGGGGGGGGGGGGTGCCGATTTTTAGTTTTTCCTCTCCCTTATCTTTCTCCCTTACTTCTTACTTCTTTTTCTTTTTCTACTTTCTTCCTCCCAACCGTCTTTATTCATCATTAATGTATTTAGTGTGTTACAGAAGAAAAAAGGGCACTTAATTATTTAAGTGCATTATTATTTGCACATTATTTCTATAGCACCACCTTATAGAAAATCTGAAAGCAGTTTACAATAACGATTCAATAATATATATGACAATGTTTCTAGTTATAAATTTTGATTTCTTTTTTAAAGAAGAGACTCCAACATGAGAATTGAAGATTATTTGCAAAATGTAATGCTATTGTAAGATATATTCACCATGTAAGCAATATTTTGCTACAGTATACTGGAATTGTTAATGGATGGACTTTCATACAAATGTTTCTTTGTTTGCATTTATCTTTCGGTCTACAGACAGCCTCAGAAATACAGCTTCAAGTTTGCCTGATTCTACTTTAGAAAGGGCTATTATGTAATGTAATTATTTTAATGAATAGCATTAAGCAAGATACAGATTTGCGCTAAACAGAATTCTGGAAGAATATTTGGTCCATTTGTTTTCCTCATGATGACACAGCTATTTCCCTTTCTCTATTTCTAAGATCTATTAAAAATTTACTTAATTGAAAAAAAGTCAGACATTCTTCCAACAAACAAAAACCCTTTTAAATATTTCAGTATGTGATTCAAGCAGTTGGAATTGGATTTCCATTAATCCTATGAGTTTTAACTGATTCAATTAATAGGTCAGCAACTAAAGCTCTAACAGTAGATTAAAATATAATTCCTTCCCAACATTTTCTGTGGGAATAGATAACAAGAAACACCACTATGGAATCTCCAAAATATACCAGCTTTCTTTTCCCTATTCCATATTGAATTAAGGAAAAATTTAAAAGAACTGTAAACATCGGCATAGCCAAATAGATACGAGGGATAAGGGGGGGGGGGGGAATCAAGATTGCTTTGTCTTGATTCTACTTAGTAAAAAAAGAAAGATGGAATCTTTATCAAGCCTTTGAAGATTATGCATTATATCCAGTAACAATGAAGTAGAGTTCCAACGATAGGTGTGATGTCTGATTCCTGACCTGGCCTACCTTAAAAGGTAGACAAAAATTCAGGTGGAGGTTGCCTTCTTATGGATTAAGGGCAGTCTGAAGGCAATGTTGTCTTCAGTGACTGTCCAGTTCCTTCTTAAAAACCTCGAGTGATGGAGTGCCCATGATTTCTGAAGACAAGCTGTTCCACTGATTAATTGTTCTAACTGTCAGGAAATTTCTCCTTAGTTCTAAGTTGCTTCTCTCCTTAATTAGTTTCCAACCATTGTTTCTTGTCCTGCCCTCTGCTGCTTTGGAGAATAGCTTGACTCCCTCTTCTTTGTGGCAGCCCCTGAGATATTGGAACACTGCTATCATGTCTCCTCTAGTCCTTCTTTTCATTAGACTAGACATACCCAGTTCATGCAGTCATTCTTATGTTTTAGCCTCCAATCCCCTAATCATCTTTGTTGCTCTTCTCTGTGCTCTTTCTAGAGTTTCAAAATCTTTTTTGTAGTAGGGTGACCAAAATTGGTTGCAGTATTCCAGGTGTGCTCTTACTATAAAGCGGTACAGATATTTCACGTGATCTTGATTCTGTGCCTCTGTTTATACAACCCGAATTGTGTTAGCTTTTTCTCTGGAAAGCCATGGCAGACTAAACTTTGGAGATCCAGCATGTTATTTCGGCTGGAATACTCTCTAACCATCTTACTTCACAAGTTAGATGTACAGCCCCATACAAATCAAGAACTCAAAACTACTCTTCAAATTAGTGAATCATGAACATGCCTCTATCCTTAATTGCTTTAATATCTGTGAATATAAAAGTAAGATGTGCTCTTATAATTACAATCAATATTGCCTTTGCAATTTAATTAGTTGCCTTTGCAACTTAGAATCAGATGAATAGCTATTTATTTGTTTTAGTTGTGTGCCACTCAACTCCAAACAATTTGGATGGCTTACAGTACAAAAAGTTAAAATACAAAACAAGAAACAAAAAACTCAAATCAGAGCAGAAAAAAAGAGAAAAAGAACAAGGCGGTGAATATTCTAAACATTTTCATCTAACATTCAACACAGGGGGCTCCAACCACTATAGCCCAAGAACAGCCAGCTCTTTATGGACTTCCTTTATTTGTACTATAGCCTGATCATCGAAATATTTAAACCACGTTACCAATGCCAGTTACAAATGTAGTAAGCAACCACCTTACAGCATCAGTGGTGGGATTCAAATTTTTTTACTACCAGTTCTGTGGGCGTGGCTTGGTGGGCATGGCATGGCTTGGTGGGCGTTGCAGGGGAAATCTTTATTCCCTCCCCACTCCTGGGTGAAGATTACTGCAAAATCCCATTCCCTCCCCACCCCACTAACCTGCTTTCCAGTTCCATTCTCCTGTGCAAGGCAACAAAAGAAGACCTAGTCGATCAGCTGGGACTTGGGAGACAGACAATAGATGGGGGCGGAGCCAGTCAGAGGTGGGATTTGCCGGTTCTCCGAACTACTCAAAATTTCTGCTATCGGTTCTCCAGAACTTGTCAGAACCGCTGAATACCACCTCTGTATAGCACCCTTGCCCAGGTTACACTGGTTTAAATTAAATAAACTGGAAACAACTAGGTGGGCTTTTCAAGGTTGGACTTAAAAATTGTTTTATGTTTTATATTGGTTTATAGTTCTTTACAATAACACAAGTGTGAATGACATGGATGGCAGCTTAGGAAAAAATTACTTCCAAAAGAACACATTTTAATCTAAAGTAATGGACACTACTAGGCAAATATGAAAACAAAAAGACTCAGCAAAGCATCTGGAGAGAATTAATACAATATATACTATTGTAAGACACTACTTTCTAAATCTCATCTGCTAAATAGATGTCTGCAGAACCAAGATCAATTTAGAAGGTCCATATGGGTTTGTTCCAACCGCCTACTCTGGGATGATAATGTTTATACTATTGTCATAACAGCTGAAAGTTTGATCCAAACTGGACTCAGATTAAAAGGATCTTAAATAAAATCTTTCCTTGTATATGGTCTTCATTTATTTTTCCTATGTCTGCAGAATTCTTTCCTCCACAGATTCTCAGTTCTGAGAACCATCCAAGTTCATCCAGCATGGAGCAATGTCACAATGTCACAATACTACTGGATTTTCCTACACCTATGGAGAGTGTAGAAGTGACTGTACACCTATCAATGAACGCCCCTGAGAAAAACAATGGCTGGAAGTTTAATTCTATGTGATTTCTATGGTGGTGACACTGTTGTTACATGGCTTTGATACACTGGAGATGAATTCTTTTTTGAAGCTTGAATGAAGAAGGAAACTGCTGCTTGAATATACAGTATGCATAGTGACATCTAGATTTTGTTGTAGTTTCTTGGCCTGAAGTTCCTAGAGAAACTAATCTCCAATGGTACAAATATTTTAACAAGTGCCTCTATGTCAAATATCTGTGATGCTTCATTCATGAACATACCTTAACCATGTCATCCAAAGAGATACATTGGAAAACTAGCTATTGTAGAAAAAATCTGCTCATATTTAAACTGATTTTAAGAAAACTTAAATAGTATAAATGATGTCACTAACCTTCATATATGGTGATGATATGAGGATGGCTGAGGGATGACATAATCTCAATCTCCCGTCTGATGTGAACCATATCTTGTTCATCCTTAATTTTGTCCTTACGGATGGATTTTATTGCAACCTATAAATTCAGGAAATCGATCATTACTCTTAAAATAAAGTACATAAAAGTAATCTATAAGGAGAGTTCAGAAAATAAATATAGATTGTTGATGCTGATAAAACATGGAATGAGCAAAATAAAATGTATATATCTATATATATAAAAGTGAAAACGCATTCACGCATCATCACAAAATCTCCAGAACAGTAACGCCTACAAACTTGAAATTTGGCATGTATGTTCCTTTTTCTAGTTGCTCACTAAGAAAGGATTTTTCGAAATGACCATCAGAGAATTAGTATTTCCTATATTATTATTAATATGCTCTGGTGTTAAGGAATTCTACTCCTCCTCCCCACCTGAAAAGAAATATGTTCCAAATGCAAAACACAAGCAGAGGAGAGGAATTTCAGTTTTAAGTTGCACAGCACCAAGCAGCTTTAGTACAGAACAGTTGAGCTAAGCCACACCCAGGCTCCTTGCTGTCTCCTTGCTCACACAGCAAATACTGTTTCAGTTTCCAAACAGCCCTCAACTCTCTCACACAGTGATAGGACGCTAGCCAGATGAATACTGAATAACCAATGGATGCTGGTAGGCAGAGGCAAATCATTTTCCTCCCCCAAAACTAAGCCCGATCACATAGTTTTGTAGCAAAGCATGGGTATCAAGCTAGTATGTATGCGTGTGTGTGCACACACGCTAATTTCATATACAGTCTAATTTCATATACAAACTATAGTATAACAATTTTTTTAAATCTAAGACATGAACTCATGATCTATTTCCATCAGCTGATTCCAAAAGAAACTCTTACTTGCTATATTGCTCTCTGAATCCTGAACTTCCATATTTCCTGAAGCACTTAGCAATCACTCAGTAACCATACCCTTCCTGCACCCTTCCTTAATCATCTGAGTAGATACCTTCCCCCACCTACCCCTCCAAAAAAAAAAAAAACATGGGAACAGAGGAAACAATAGCCAATCTTTTATCATAATTGGACAGTCATGAGAATATGTATTACATTTCAGAGGCAAGAATTTAAAAGGTTACCAAGATCAAATAGGGCAACATGTGGACATCTGAACCATCCATATTCAGAATGAATAAACTTCTGCCTCTATACACATATAATTTTCTTTAAAATACAAGATGCAAGTTTTCAAAACATAGATATGCAACAGCAGAATCATTTTAATGCTTAGTATTTAGATGTTTTAAATAAATATTTGTCATTGCTTCCGTCTGCTTGATAACCAAAATATATTACTTTTCATTCCACAATATTACTGAATCGTTAAGTCTTATCTTTAAGCTAAAATGAAGTAGGGAATTTTCTATTAATTTCATTGTGTGATTTTAGTTTTTACTATCAGATACTAGTAGAGGAAAATACAGAAAAGGCTATCAAATATAATTTAATATACATTATTATTTTTAAGGCTGATTCTGCATGTTATTTCACCAACAATACAAAATATTTTATGAATAACGATGGAGTTATTATTCACATGCTATGAAACATTAGCTTTGTTTAGAGTACATTTGGTTTACTATTTGATTTACTCAGGAATAGAATTGTATATTATTTTCAAAATAAGTAATCTATTTTATTTAGGTGGAGAATATGAACAAAATGTTTCTTCTATCTTCTGGATGCAATGCCAAATTATTTTAGTTCCTGCCCATGAACAGTAAAGTCTATTATCACATTTTTAAAAACAAGATTACAAAGATTTATTGTATAAAACCTCTATCCTTCCAGGAAAAAATGGCGATCTTCATCATGTTCTCCTATAATTTAAAATTTAAAATTTAAAAATTCTATATTCTTTTTATATCATGACTTTAATTTGAGAGATCAGCTCAACAGTCTAACTGTTAATAAGGCTGGATGTAATTTTAAATATGTATTTTAAAAAGAGACAAAGGAGCAAATCCTTGAGCAATTCCTGAGGGACAGAAAGCAGCTTCAAGTGTTAAGAAAGGTCTGTTTTTTCTTTTTCTTTGATTCTGTTCTGTGGGAGAGGCTGTGAAAGTGCATATATGCTAAGTATGAAAAGAAAGCATGTGGGTGGCTTTTGGATCCACACATGCATTCCTAAGGAAAAAATAAATGTAGACATTGATTTAAAAATATGTATAGCGTAAAATAGTTCTGCATCTCAGAAAGAATGTTAAAAGGATGTTATTGTCAAAGATAGAAAAGAATAAATTCTTCACCATTTTGGGACAGGGAATCAATCATACCATGTAGGGATGGAAATATACTTGGGATCTTAGCCCACATGATAAATAGGAGACGAGAGCATAAATTGCATGCAGTACAAAGATCTAAGCCTGAAAAACAGAATATATTTTTTGATTTGTATAAAACTTAATAAATGTTCCTTCCGATCTGCTTTTAAATCAGAATCTCATGAAGAGTTGCTTTACAGGTAGTCCTTGACTTACAAACTACAACCGGGACTCGAATTTCTGTCATGAAGTGATGCAACCATAAAGCAAGACGTACATAGCTTCCCTGCACCCTGCCGTGCAAGGTAAGCTCTCAAGCAGCTCCAGAACGTTGCAGCTCTGGGGCAGCTCGTCATGCCTTGGGAAGCTGCCCCAGGTCAGTCCTAGTCTCCCTCACCACCCTGCAGCACAAGCCCCTGTACTCCCCCCCCCTTTTTTTTTTTACAGCATTAAGCCAGCCCCAGCGTCACTCATTCACTCTTTGGAACAGTTCTGGGACTTTTTACTTTTCCCCACAGTGCAAAGTCAATTGCAGCCTGGCCCAGCAGTCCGGCTGGGTACATCTTGTCAGAAGTAGAAGCACGAATACAATGAAGGAGAGCTGGAGTGGCAGAGCAGTGGGTAGCAGGGGACCAAAAGGGCACAGTTGGTGGGAGTATCTTTGAGGCTTCAGTGTTGCCACAGTGGAGAGTTGGTTTAATATCAGGGTTCCAAGTAACACACCCATAGAAAATTGAACTCCGTGGCAGGTAGATTCCTTAAAGAACAGTTTTTATGGGATATATCATATTGGCACAGACTAGTAAAAACCAACTCTAACGATTCCCACGGTTTTCACCTAATTAAAAGTAAAAGTTTTCCCCCTTTCCCAAACAATCAGTCACATGGTCCAATCACTGCTCTGTCTGGTTGCTTGGTAACTTCACTCCTCTTTCCAGCCACATGTGAGAATGTCCTTGATTCCCAGAGGAAACTATATTGTTTTGGCTACAAATCCCCACAGCTATCTCTATTCCCCCTTCCCTAACTCTCATCTCCATTGTGGCAACACTGAAGCCTCAAAGATGGCCTCAGTCAGACCAGCTTCAGAGTTGACAGGGAGATGGGCAGGTTTTATGTTCAGCATTTCTGCAGTCATAAAACTGGACAGGCTGCCAGATGCCCACAACTTTGACCTTGGGACCACAGACCAATTTTAGTGCTCTAATCTCTTGTTTTTGCCTAATTTGTACTGAGAGAGTCTCTTCTGCCAATATATACAATAGAGGAGCTAGGGGGCAGCCTTGTCTTACTCCCTTATTTATCTTTATGGTATCTGTATTTTCCCCATTTATTAATATTTTTGCGGTTTTCATTTTATAAATTGTCTTAATAAATCCTACAAAATTTTCACCAAATTTCATGCCTATCAGTTGTTTAATAAGGAAGTTCCAATTCAGGTTGTCAAATGCCTTCTGGGCGTCTAAAAATATCAGTGCCATTGTCTTGGTTGAGTATACTTCATAATATTCTAATATATCCATAATGGTTCTTGTATTTGTTTTTATTTGCCTATGGGGGAGGAAGCCATTCTGATCAGCGTGGATAATTCTACTTAATACTCTCTTTAATTTTTCCGCCAATATTGTAGCCATTATTTTGTAATCTACATTTAAAAGTGATATTGGTCTATAGTTTTGAATTTTTTGTTGGTCTGATTGTTCTTTATTAATAAGGGTAATATATGCTTCTATCCATGATTTAGGCATGTTAGCATTCTCCAAGGCTTCATTGTACAAGTCCACCAATATCTCCTCTATTGTTTCTTGGAATTGCTTATAGAATTCCGAAGGAATTCCATCTGGGCCAGGGGTCTTATTTGCTTTTTGTGTTCCAATTGCCTTCCTAATTTCTTCTATAGATATTTTATTATTCAAAATTTGTTTCTCTTCATCAGTAATTTTGAGCAAGTTCTTTTCATTCAAATATTGATCAATAGATTCTTCTGGTATTTCTTCTTGCTTATACAATTTCATAAAAAACTCCTTAGCAATTTCTTTCTTTTCTTGGGTCTGCGTGCATAATTTCCCTTCCTGATCTTGGAGAGCTACGATCGTTCTCTTTTCTTGTTCTTTTTTAATTTTATGGGCTAACCACCTCCCCAGCTTATTTTCATTTTCAAAATAATTTTGTTTTGCTAATTTAATTTTTCGGGCCAGATCTTCCTGTACATTTAGATTTATCTTATGTTTTACCAGATCTATTTCTTACTTAATGTTTGAATTGTTTGGGTCCTTTTGTCTACTTGTTTCCAAATCTTTCAGTTTCTCCCTCCATATGTTTTGTTGATGTCTTTTTTCTTTATTCTTTTTAGTATTGTAAGCAATAGTTAGACCTCTCACATAGACTTTGGCCGTATCCCAAAGATTCTGTAGAGAGGTATGTTCTCTTTTGTTTATTTCAAAAAATATGTTCAATTCTTTCTTTATCATTTCAACATATTCTTTATCTCTTAATATGGTATTGTTAAATGTCCATCTTCCCATTTTTCTCTTTCCTTTCCATTTAATTTGAATGGGATTATGGTCAGCCCATAGATTTGGCAAAATCTTGATCCTTTCAATATTCTCTATTAACCCAGGGTTCATCCATATCTGATCTATTCTGGACCAAGAGTGGTGGGGGTTCAAAAAAAAGTTGTTCCTCTTGGCTTCTCGTATTTAAGTCATCTCTACTTTCTTGTTCTTCCTCGGGTCCTAGGTGTCGTTCACAAAATTCCTGTGCTTTTTCAATTGTAT